GCTCCCTCCCTCGCCCTGCCTCTGTGGCTCTGCCGCTTGCAGGCTTTGCCTCCCTGCAACAGGAGGAAGGGTTCAGCACCCCCTGCCCGCCGACCTCCTACCCTCTCTCCGCCCCAGGCAGTAGAGGGGAAAGGTAGATTGAGAGCCTGTTGATCCAGCAGCGGCAGTGTAATTGACTAGAACTTCTTGAAGCAGCGGCCTGCCTCTCTCCTCCTCTCTGCTTCCGCAGCTCGCAGGCTTTGCCTTCTTCTAAAATGGCGGAGGGTTCGGCCCTTGCGGCGCTGTTCCCCTCCGACGAGACCCGCCCCTACCAGAGTACCTTCTGATAGGCCGGCATTTCTGATAATCCGGCACCACCTGGGTCCCAAAGGTGCCAGATTATCGGAAGTCTACTATAGTCTGTTTCTTCCAAGAAAGCTTGGAGTTGCAGCACCACCGCTCGCTCGAGTACCTTGCCCAAGAAGGGAATATTATCAATTGGGCGATAGTTATTTACATCATGTGGGTCCAGCGAGGTCTTCTTGAGTAACGGTTTTATCACTGCCTCTTTCAAGGCATCAGGAACCATACCAAATCTAAAAGACGCATTAATAATCCTCTGGACCTAGCCAGTTATCCCTTCCTGGCTAGATTTAATAAGCCATGAAAGGGAGGGGTCAAGTGAGCACGTAGTCGATTGCGCTCCTCCAAGCGCATTGTCCATATCCTCAGTCTGCAATAGCTGAAACTGATCCAGAGAAAAAAGACTGGGTGGTGCACTCAACACATTCTGTGCCCCACTTACACAGCAACCAGAGTCTAAATCCAACCAGATGCGGGCGATCTTATTAGCAAAATGCTTTGCAAACAGATTGCAGTGGGGGGCCAAAGACTCCTCTATTTCGCCATGAGTGCCAGACTGCAACAGGCCTCATACTACTCGAAACAATTCCGCTGGACGGCATTGTGCAGATGCGATACGGGTGGAGAAGTAGCTTTTCTTCTCTGTCAGCACCGCCACTGGGTAAGCTCGCAGTTCAGCTCTAACCCGCAGTCGATCAGACTCAGCTCTAGTTCTCCTCCAGCTGTGTTCTAGCCGTTGCACAGACTATTTTGCTGCCATCAGCTCCCTAGAAAACCAGGGAACAAACTTGGCTTGACTGGTCTGAAGAGGGCGCTTAGGAGCAATCATATCAACTGCCCGGGCTACCTGGGTGTTCCATGTATCTACAGGACCATTTGCCATAATGGCTGAACAATCCCTCAGGGACCTCAGAAAACCCTCCGGATCCATCAGCCTCCGAGGGCGGATCATCTTAATTGGTCCTTCGCCT